TGTCATTATAATCTAGACTCTTTAAATCATGCGTAGGGCCTTATTTTTAAAGATCTAATTACAATGAACATTTAATATTATTATTTTCATGAGATAACCATTCTTGTAATATTAAGACTTTTCAAATCATGCGTGGGGCCTTATTTTTGAAGATCTAATTACAATGGTGTTAATAACGAAGGCCATGGGGCAATGTATAAAAATCTCCGCTCCCACTCAATTTTTAATCATTCCTAATTAGGGTTTTGAATTTATTTATTTACATGATATAATGCATACAAAACGTCTTGATTTTAATCCAATTAAATTTAGAAAATATTTGGACTTAAATGATTCACTAATATTTAATTTGAGGCACACTTTAAAAATAATTTACAAAAATAAATTTTCATTTCCCAATAAGTGCCCTCAAATTTATTAGTAATCAAATCCAATTAATTTTCATAATTTAATTAATATAAATCAAGTCATTTAATTAAATATCATAGATCCAATGCATGAATAGTAATTAATCAACAATTATCTATCCCATGCATCACATAAATAATCAAACTACAGACAGAAGCAATTTAAATGGCCAATGGATTCAACTTTTAACATTTAATTACTCTAAGTATTGTACAGGTGTCCTCCAACAGCTTGTAAACACCTGTAGGGAGCTGGTACGCGCTTACGGAGGCAAAACAGTACTTGGAATGCGCCCGGAGGGCCCCACACGTGCTCACATGCGCCTGGGGCATGCACCAGGTAATGGCACGCGCTCCCACACGCCCCCACGCGCTGGGACACGCCTGTAGCGCGTGGGACGAGCCCCCACGCGCCTCCAGGCGCGTGGAAACAATTTCCCTTGGCTGGCGCGTGAGATCCACGCGCCAGCCCATGTCCACCTCCTGGCGCGTGTTCCACACGTGCCAGGTGCACTTCCTTGTGCCGCATGGGATAACTTCCCATCATCCAAAAGCTCAGATCCCAGTTGCACCATATAATTGTGTTCCGCGAAGCATGTGATCATCAGTCCTTCTATCTCCGGCCAATACCTCGCCGCCGGCAATTTTCCGGTCACCGGAAAAACGCCGAAAATTCAAGAAAATATTTTAAAAATTCCAGAAAATATAAATTAAACCAAAAAAATTTCAGAAAAATTCTGAAAAATTCCAGAAAATTCCTGAAGCCTAATTTAACCCTCTTGGACCTTCTTGAAGCTTCATAGCATCCTTTGATGAAGATTACATGGCTTTAAATAAATTTACAATTTGAAATACAATGGAAAAAATTAAATTACATCATTGAACTTTCAAACGGCTAAATCAAAGCCTTAATTACATTCATCCAAAGATAAAATTACATTCCAATAACCTATGAGCTTCATCCATGGCCCAAACATTCATCAACATACATCCAATCACAAATATACATACATCATGATCATATAAAAATATATACATATGCATATAAAAATTTGGATCCATGAATGATGATTTTCATAAAATCATGATCTCTAATAATGAATCAAACCATGCTCTGATACCACTGTTGGGAAACGTGCAAGTTTTAAAAACTTTTCGAGGGATTTTGATTCATAAATCTTGATTCATCACATAGATATAAGTTTTATGCAAAAATAAAAATATGATGTATCATTCAATTAATGGATTGACTACTTACATCAAAGGTCTGAGTAAACCTTTAAATCTTTCCTATAAAGTGAATGTTCTCACTTATTGTAGATCCCTTAACAAGATGCCTTCTCCTTGGATCTCCATCTTCTTGGTAATTGTTTTGCCTTTAGGAATCACTCATAAGCCTCCATGAATGACCTTGGAAAACTAGACTTGTGGGAGCCTCCATTAGATGAGAACACTAACCCTAATTTTCTAGAGAGAGAAAATTTATTCCTTTTTCCTTCTCATAAAAATCACCCCCAAAATATACATAGACCATGTATATATATAGGCAACATAAAGATAAGGAAAAGGAAACTATAAATCCTTCTCAATCTCTAATTCACATATTTCAAATCTAATATGATTCCAATATCAAGTTGGGCTATGAGTGAGAATACTTTGGGTTTATTATTTTTATTGGCTACAATGAATTAATAATTGGCCCGGTCCATGGACCCAATTAAATTAATTCATAAATTAATTTCTACTCCACTAAAAGAAATTAATTGAACTCCAATTAAATAATAAATAACTTATAAGTCAATATTGCACTTTGACCCCTCTATGCATAATTAGTTATTGGATAAATAATGCCATCAATCTGACTACTTAATTAATATATTTATTTTGGTACCTTTGATTATTTCTGCCTTGATCACAATAAAACATTTGTTTGACAAAAAATAATAATTTAAATAAATAAATATATAATAAATCATTTTGTCTAAAAACATAGGCCTTCAAATTTACTTTGTGATCAACCATAATCAATACAAATAGCAATGATGCAAATATTGAAAATATAACCCTCTAATTATTAATTACATAACTACCCAAAGTGTCGGTATAAGGATTCCGAAGAATCCGCCGAACAAATCAAAGTAATTATTAATTAATAAAAAAGTCTATAATTTTCTCATGCTTAAGAGTCAAATGCCATGACGGTGATAGGGAGCAATTGCATACGACGGCTCTCGCAATATATCTCAACCTAACGCGGATCCAGTTCAAATCTTAATTAATTATGAGTCCATCCATAATTACCGACTATGAACCATTTATGATTACTATTTATATATCTTGCATTGATTGCCATCACGTACATATATATATATATATATATATATATATATCTTGTAATCAAATGAACACTATCAATTCTATAATGAATCGAAATATAATACATTGAATTCACCAATTGTATAAAACATAAATATTTCAGAAACATCAGGAACATATATCACTTTAATCCAAACAGGAATTTGCTATGCTAGGGCATATAAATCCCAACACAAATAACAAAGAAGTACACATAAAGCAACAATGAAGACAAAAAAGAAAAAGATTTATACTCATTACTCGCAGATTATGTAAATTAAGGAAACAAAGCAAATAAATAATGTGCAACTTTGGGCTCAGATTTTCGAGAGAGAGAGAGAGAGAGAGAGAGAGCTGAGACTATGTTTATACACACACACACACAGAGAAAGATAAAGAAAGAGAGAGGATGAGGAAAGAGGGGAAAGAGCTGAAATATTGAGAAGTCTTGAATCTCACTGAAACTCTGAATGATGATGAATCTGTTGTTGAATATTGAGAAGTTGCGTGAGAACTGAAATTAGAAATGAGAAGAAATTTCTAGGGGAATTATAATATATATATATACACACACACACACACACACACATTATGCACACACAAGTAATGTAACTGTTCCATGATTTTGGAACCGAAACCTCCAGTTTTTTCAGTTCCACTGGCTTTTCGTGTCTCTAAATTTAAAGGTATAAAAGGAACAAGGTCTCAAAAAAGAAAGAAAATTCAATTACCATTTTGAACAGTACCTTTCATCAAGTCCATATTGTTGTGGCTACAAACTAACTCATCCATTGATGAATGTCTCAGGGTCAGCTCATTAAGGCACTCTTATCAAATTCAATTACCAATCCCATGAACCAAGTTTGAACATACAATACCATCTCATTTGCTTAAATAATCAAATTTCAACAATACTAGGCTAAGCTCGATTAGGCTCTTAACTAATTCGAGTACGTATCACATAATTACAGTTATGCAATCCTACATAAAACCTGTATGCGAGAGTAATTAAGCAAGAATTTTTAGTGCATTACATTTTTATATCACTAAGTTACAATGGTTGTTTTAGAAAGTTTTAAGACTTGATGTAGAATTATGTCTTACATGGTCTATATAACAAACTCAGCAGGTTCATGAACAAATCCTAATTCAACTTACCTCTTACTTGCAACTCAAAATCCTTGATAAGTGCAATCAATTTCGAGTGCCACGGAAAGGGCCCAAAAAGGAATAAACTTCACCAGGAAGAATGAGAAATACCATTTGATATTTTCAAAAAATATTTTATCACGACTGCAATTACATTTCCATTTTCATAACATCAAAATAACATAGAACAAATAATGTATATATAAATTTTATAAGTAACATAGAACGAACAAATATTTTAGTTTAAACAAGATGAACACATGCCAAAGAAATAGAGATGGAAGTTTTCAGGTTCCCAATTGTCATTGTGCAGTTATCAATTGATACTTACATTGTGAAAGAAAACATACCAAACAAGCTCAAACATGACTCAGTTTATCCTAATACAACTACCATCAGTTTATCCTGGTAAAATAAAATAAAATACAAGGTACACAGGATAATGGAACAAATTTTGTTTGAGATAAACGCAATGATCCAGAACAAGTTCTGGTCAATAGGGAAGTAAGACAAACAAAGCTACTCATATTTTTGCTTGAGATTGGCTAGGAAATATTATCCGATATCATGAGCAGAATTCAATTACATTTGAAGCTCATTTAAATTAGTTGAGCTTAGCTTCGAAAGCAGAGAAACAGTCTAGGACTAAAGATAACCAAACAACTATGGCTCAAATATGATCAGCTCAAGCAGAAACATGTTTGAGCTTGCTAGTGAGATGAATGAACCAAGGTTCATTTCGTAGCTCCTTTTTTGAGCTGAACGTGAGCAACCCACAATTCAACTCATCTTGTTAAGTTTAAAGCCATACTAATTAATTGAGACCATTAGAAATTTTGACCTTCCCTTTTCATGCCTAGAGAGTATATAATCCACTTCTAATCACAGTAATGATAAGGCTTACATATTTGATCACAAAGGTTGCAAAACACATGTAGTAAAAAAAAAAAAAAAAAAGGATAAAACAAAACTTAAGTACTAATTTTATAGATTTCATCGCCAAACATGTATTCAAAATGATTCACTAATTGCCAGACTAATTTCCCAAATTTATCATGCACACAATATGTATGAACAGAACATTGAGAATTGAGATTCAAAAAGACTTTTTGGTTTCAAATCATTATAATTCAAAGCATAAGTACAAGCTATACTGAACTAACAGTTGAACTACCAACACAACAGATACATTCATTTTCTCCCAAAAACAAAAAAACAAAAAAAAAAACAAAAACAAAAACAAAAATCAGAAAAATAATTTACCACAATTCAATCATTAGCAGTTTCTAAACAATGGCACATTTTGCTCCGGCTGCTTCCAGTTGCTTCTTGGCGTCTTCGGCCTCCTCCTTGGACACTCCCTCCTTAAATTTCTTCGGCAAACCCTCAATCAACTCTTTGGCCTCCTTCAAAGCCAAGCTCGTCAATGCCCTAACCGCCTTAATCGTCGCAATCCTCGCATTGCTCGGCACGTCCTCTATCATGACGTCGAACTCCGTCTTCTCCTCGGGGGCCGCCGGAGCGTCCGCGACCGCACCAGGCGCGGCTGCTGCGGCGACGGGAGCGAAGGAGGCAGCGGAGACACCGAGCTTGTCTTGAAGGTATTCGACAAGTTTTTGGGCGTCTGAGAGGGTTAGGTTAGAGATTTGATCCCCGAGCTCAACAACCTTCTCCGGCGCGTCGACGGCGGCGACAGGGCGGAGGAAGGTGGCTCGGCCGGAGAGTTTGGTGGTTCGGAGTGGGAATTCTAGGGTTTGTTTGGGGAAAGTGACAGTGGGGCACGCAGGATAAGCAGAGGAGGATGTAGGATAAGACGGTGAACGAAGGGTGAGCGTAGTGAGACTGAGAGTTGTTGAGGCCATCTTGAGAGACGGAGGGAGGGAGGGAGGGAAGGGAAAGGGGTGCGAGAAGATAGGATAAGGAATAGTACCGTAGATGTGTGGGAGACATGGTGTTTATGTAGGTGTATTTTGAATTAGTTGACAGAATTGCCCTTCTCATCTGCCTTCCTTTGTTGATGGCCTTAGAAAATGGCCCAAGCCCACCATATCCAAATCAGAGCCAAGCCCTTTGATACCCAAAAGTCCATACAACTAGATCCATGGAGGATGGCCCACACAATAAACAAGTGAAAATGGATTAGGAAATGCTAAATTGCACAATATCAGCCATTGGATCTGTGGGCCTTCATTGATCCAACGACTGATGTTGTAGAATCAAGAATAGCACAACTAGATTCATTAAAATCCAATTTTCCAGACAAGAAGAATGCAAAACTGGAATTTCTTAGAACTTAGAAGCAACCCAGCCCAAAACTATATTATATTGGATCTAGAAATTCAAAACAGAAACCCACCTGTGGAGGGAAAAAAACTCCCTCCAATAAGAAGCGTACACGTCATCACTACACATATCTACATTCCAATGACATATAAGGCCCATCATGCTCAAGTCCAAATTGAGTGTATTTTTAACCCAAGACCATTATTATTTGTCTTCCAACCTCTATCAAGGCCGAATCAAGAGGTCATCAGCCCAACTTGTTAATATTTAACATCCGGTCTGTTACTCAAGCCCAGCCGAATCAAAGTATGTTCAGCCCAGTTATTCAAGAATGCACAAATCCTACCAGTTGAAGGATTTATTGTAGAAGGAAAATTCTGAGATAGGAAGTTCTGTACAAGGCAAGTTCTATGTATGGAAAATTAGACAATGGAAATAACTCTATTAGTAAAGAATGTTTATATAGAAAGAATTGGAGGACAAGCAACGCGAGTCCTACCATAATTTTACAATCTTTTGTATATAAATAGAGGCTTAGACCTCCAATAAAGGAATCAAGCAATTCTACGCTTCGACATATATTGTTCTTGTTTATTTTTACTATTGATTGAGTGAGTTGTTTTATTTTTCTTAATCATTATTGGTTGAGCGAAATTCTACACCTACACTTTGGCGCCGTCTGTGGGAATCGTATAAAAATATACTCCCACTTGTTCTTCAAATCAAATCCTTAGTCGTATCTGGAATGTCAAACGGAGAGTCAGCAATGAATCAACAGATAGAATTGATGCAAAAGATGCGAGAGGAGTTCTTGCACCAATTTGAGACACTCCGGCAAGCAAACGAAACGAGTGTCGCCCAGATAGCTGCGCGTCAGCAGCAAACTCATACGCTGCACACGGCAATGGCCAGGCTAACGCCACAACCACCACTAGGCGATGCTGCAGCACCACCCCCCACCCAGAATTTACCTCCAGTTCACGAGCCTCCGGCCAACAGGACACCACCCAACGGGGCTCGACCTAATGAGGTTCAGCAACAGCAAGGGACAAGGTCCGAGGCGGTTGCTTCGGATAATCTCCCGCGTCGCACACAGGACGAACAGGCCGAGTCCAGCCATAGGCTTACGGTATGGTCCAATGGGGTTCCAGATGGCGCATGCGTACAAGATGCCTTCGACGAAAAGAAGCTCTTGAGATTCCAGACACCAGCCGAGATGGCTAGAGAGCACAAGAATTCCTTGGTCAAGACCCCCTTTACTGACGAGGTGTACCTTGTGGAGAGGCCGAAGAAGTTCACTATGCCATCCTTCACCCAGTTCGATGGGGCAGGAGACCCCTTTCGGCATCTTGATCATTATGCGCAAAAGATGGCACTGGACGATCATAACGATCCGTGGATGTGTAAGGTTTTTCCTACCAGTTTAACCGGAGCAGCGTTAGAATGGTTCAGGAATAGGCCACACAAGTCTATCCCTGACTATGAGACCTTGTGCACCATGTTCTTAGCCCAGTATTGCGGAAATAAGAAGCAGAAGAAAAGTATCACCAGCCTTTTCACCATAAGGCAAAGGAAGGGAGAAACTTTGCAAGATTTTTTATCCAGGTTTAACATGGAGGCCTCGGAGATAGCAGATTGCCATCCTGCCACGGCAATCGAAACGTTTAAGTTGGCGATGATCCAGGGAACCAAGTTTCACACATCCTTAGTCAAATATTCCCCCCCGGATATGTAGACTTTGAACGCTAGGGCACAAATCTACATCCGGTTGGAGGAAAACGTAGCCCACCGTGCACAGCACGCTACCCTCGTCACGGTGGAAAACAAGTCTCGAGAGAAAGCTGCGAGCACAAGGATGCAGAAGGTCCCTCATACCGCCACACAAGTCACCCAAACGTCTGAGAAAAGGCGAAGGACAGAGGACAGGCTTACCCCTCTCCGTACTACCTTGGCGCGCCTATTCCAAGAGAATAAGACGAGGTTCGCAACTCCTCAGCCCATGAAACAACCCTTAGAGCAGAGGGACAAAAGCAAACATTGTGCCTACCATAGAGACTAGGGGCATACCACCAATGACTGCAGGTCCCTTCAGCGACAGGTAGAAAGCATGATAGCGAGAGGAGAGTTGGTGGAGTATCTAGCCACGAAGGAGTACGTAAAACCTCAGAAGGTTACCCCTCAACGGATAGAGGGCGGTCAGGTAAAGGTTATCCATGCCATACACGGAAGGTCAGAGGATGATGAAGAGTCTGAAGAGTTGTACAGATCCAGGCTAAGAGAGGCTCATAAGTTACGAAGATTGTCTTCGGTAAACACGGTTACACCAGGCAGCATCAACATTGGATTCGATAACAATAATCTGTCTAGAGTTCAGCGCCCGCATGAGGACCCCTTGGTCATTAGCCTCCTAGTAGCGAATTATATGATCAGGAGGGTGCTGATAGGGAAGTAGTGCCAACATTACAAAAGCAGCTTTCGATCAGCTGGGGGTTTCACCATCGTCCATCAGGCCAACTTCCAGCCCCCTAATGGGGTTTGATGGTACTAAGGTGAATCCGCTTGGGGTGATCGATCTATCCGTTACTGCAGCAAAGAGGACTCTGAAGGAAAACTTTGTCGTGACGGAGATTCATCCATCTTATAACCTCATTATGGGGAGAGGTTGGATTCATCGTATGAACGGAGTCCCCTCTACCCTTCATCAAGTAATGAGGTGTTTATCCCCAGATGGCAGGGAGGTCATCGACCTCTGGGGAGACCAGGTTGCTGCAAAAGAATGTTACATGCTAACGCTGTATGAAGCAAAGAAGGCATCGAAATCACCTCAGTCAGAGGCGAATCCCAAAGACGCAATCAAATAGCAGTTACAGTATCCTTTGCCCAAGTATCTCAAGGCAGTGGAAGAAGCCGAGGCTGAAGCACCTACCGAGGAGTCCCTCGAAGCTATAGAGGTAGTCCTCGGAGACCCTCAGAAGGTCACCTACATTGGCTCATCTTGCACAGCCGAAGAGAAGGAAGCATTGATCAGGGTCATTCGGTGCAATTCGGATGTCTTTGCCTGGGATCACTCGGACATGGTGGGGATCGATCCTACGGTCTCATGCCATAGTTTGAGGGTTAACCCAGAATTCAGGCCAGTCAAGCAAAGGCACCGACGGTTCGCACCTGAACGGAATCGCATAATAGCCGAGGAAGTAAATAAACTATTACAAGCAGGATTCATTCGAGAGGTGCAATACCCACAATGGCTCTCAAATGTAGTAGTCGTTCAAAAGAAGAATGGGAAATGGAGGGTATGCGTAGATTATACCAACCTTAATAAAGCTTGCCCAAAAGATAGATTCCCTCTGCCCAAGATTGATTAAATGGTGGATGCTACGACAGGTTATGAGAGGCTCACATTCCTCGATACATACTCCGGCTATAATCAGAGTCCCATGAATCCTGAAGATGAGGAGAAAATCGCTTTCATCACAGAGACGGGCACTTACTGCTACAGAGTGATACCCTTCGGTCTAAAGAATGCCGGAGCCACCTACCAGCGACTTGTCAATAAAATTTTCAATAATCTACTGGGGAATACAGTTGAAGCCTATATCGATGACATGGTGGTCAAAAGTACACGGAAAGAGGATCACCCGAAGCACCTCCAGGAGGTCTTTGATACTCTCAAGAGGTACAATATGAAGCTGAACCCCACCAAGTGCTCCTTCGCCGTCTCTTCAGGACAGTTCCTCGGGCACATTGTAAATAAAAGAGGAATAGAAGTAAGCCCAGCTCAGGCAAAGGCACTCATACAGAACCAAGAGCCAAAAACCCGCAAGGAAGTGCAAGTTCTAACCGGCCGAATTGCGGCCCTCAGCCGGTTCATATCCCGATTATCTGATAAGTATAAACCTTTCTTTGATGCTATTCGATCCAAAAACAAAGATATGTGGGGACCTCAGCAGCAGGAAGCTCTCAATCAATTGAAAAGCTACATGACAAAACCCCCAATCATTTCTGCTCCAACGCCCGGAGACACTCTCATCCTGTACTTGGCAGTATCAGCTGTAGCAATAAGCGCAGTGTTGATCAAAGAAGAAGGCAAGGTTCAACACCCTATCTTTTACACAAGCAAAACGATGACGGATGCCGAGACACAGTACAGCAAGACGGAAAAGATAATCCTGGCGTTAATTTATGCCAAGAGGAAACTTCGACATTACTTCGAATCTCACAGCATAGTGGTACTTACAAATCACCCTATACGGGCTATCCTAGATAAACCAGACTTGTGTGGTACGGTGCTTAAAAGTTTTTAGTGACTCACAGCTTGTGATCAATCAAGTGACAGGGCACTATTATCCCAAGGAGGAACGTATGAAGTCATACAAAGATGCTGTACAGAATGCCATCCGGGAGTTCGATCAAATAGAATTCCATCAGGTACCACGAGATGAAAATGCCGAAGCAGATTGATTGGCCGCAGCCGCATCATCTTCAGATGAAGAGTTGATTCGGCTTGTTCCAATCGATGTCCTCGAAGAACCTAGCATTAATCCCTGGCAAGAGGTGATGGTGATCCCGGAAGTTCCACTCGAGCCATGCTGGATTGATCCAATCGAGGCCTACCTCAAGGAGGGAGTTCTCCCA